CGGCACTGTACTTACCCCGGCTTCAATAGCAATTTTTTTTGCTTCTATTTTATCCCCCATTTTCTTAATAGCAGAAGCATTAGGCCCTATTAGCGTCACTCCTTCTCTTTTTAAAATATTAGCAAAATTAGCATTTTCTGATAAGAAACCGTACCCTGGATGTACTCCGGTTGCGCCGCTTGCTCTAATAGCATTTATAATGTTTTTGATCGATAAGTAACTTTCTGTGGCAGGAGAACTACCGGTATAATAGGCTTCATCAGCATATTGTACATGCATTGAATGAGTATCAGCTTCAGAATATACCGCCACTGATCTAATACCCATTTGTTTTAATGTTCTCATTATTCTTAAAGCTATTTCACCACGATTAGCGATTAAAATTTTATCAAATAATGGCTTAGTCATAAAATCTCGTGCTTAAAAATATATTATAAAAAATAAAACATGCTAAAAGTACAAATTTAGGAGGGGAAGGGAGTAGAATTAAAGTGGTAAGTTATCATGCTTTTTCCAGGGTAATTGTACTTTTTTATTTTGAAGAATATTTAACGCTTTACATATACGCCACCTGGTGTTTTGAGGTTCTATAATATCATCCAAATAACCTCTTGATGCGGCAACAAATGGAGAAGTAACAGTATTTTTATATTCCTGGATTTTTTGTTTTTTTAATTCTGGATCCTTACATTCCTCTTTAAATATTATTTCTGCAGCTCCTTCTGCTCCAAGTACTGCAATTTCAGAGTTATACCAGGCGTAATTAATATCACCTCGTAAATGTTTGGAATTCATCACGATATAGGCGCCACCGTAAGCTTTTCTAGTAATAATAGTGATTTTAGGAACAGTTGCCTCAGCATAAGCGTATAACAATTTTGCTCCGTGCTTAATAATACCATCATGCTCCTGGTCAGTGCCAGGCAAAAAGCCTGGCACATCAACTAACGTTACTATTGGAATATTAAAGGCATCACAAAAACGTATAAATCTTGCAGCTTTTCTTGAAGCATTGATATCTAAGCATCCCGCTAAATGTAATGGCTGATTAGCAATAAATCCGATAGACCTTCCTTCCATATACCCAAAGCCAATAATTATATTTCTAGCAAATTCAGGCTGTAATTCAAAAAATTCTCCTTCATCAATAATGCGTTCGATTAGCTCCTTCATATCATAAGGTTTATTTGGAATAGTGGGAACCAAAGTATTTAAAGACATATCAACCCGATCGGCGGGATCTTCAGTTTTGCGCTTTGATGAGGGGCTACAATTCGACAGGGGTAAAAAATTAAAAAATCTTCTAGTTTCCAACAGAGCTTCTATATCATTTTTAAAAGCAAAATCAGCTACCCCACTTTTAGCAGTATGCATACGGGCGCCTCCTAGTTTTTCTTGGCTGACTTCTTCTCCTGTTACTGTTTTCACTACGTATGGCCCTGTTACAAACATATAAGAGCTATTCTTAACCATAAATATAAAATCTGTTAAAGCAGGAGAATATACAGCTCCTCCTGCACAGGGACCCATAATTAAACTAATTTGCGGGATAATTCCGGAAGCAATGACATTACGTTGAAATATCTCTCCATAGCCTCCTAATGCATCAACACCTTCTTGAATTCTTGCTCCTCCTGAATCATTTATACCAATAACTGGTGCTCTCACTGCCAAAGCGGCATCAAGGATATTACATATTTTCTTCGCATGATATTCCCCTAAAGAACCTCCTAAGACTGTGAAATCTTGGCTATAGACAAAAACTAGCCTACCATTTATAGTACCTTGTCCGGTGATTACTCCATCTCCGGGAAATTTTTTACTCTCCATGCCAAAATTATTACATCTATGCTCAACGAACATCCCTATTTCTTCAAAACTTTCAGTATCTAGCAGGACTTCGAGTCTTTCTCTAGCAGTTAGTTTACCTTTCTTATGTTGAACAGCTACCCTTTCTACCCCTCCCCCTTGACGTGCGTTATTACGCTTTTCCTCAAGTAATTTAGCAGAATGTATAATATGTTGCGCCATATATTGTTATTATATTTCATTACCATTATAACTCGTAGTATAATAAGAAAATGTCGAAAAGATAGTAGAAAATTATTGGATAATTAAGGTAAGTAGATTATAACAAGTAATTATTTTAATGCACAACTATCTCAGTTAACAATATATTTAATAATGCTAATTCAGATGCGCAAATCACTATATATAATGATAATTTTAGGAGGAATTTATAACTGAAAATAATAAACATAAGTCCCCTAAGCTTAATGACAAGAAATTGTTAAAATTATCGACTGCTTTAAAAGAAAATTTGGGCAGAAGGAAAGAAATTCAAAAAATTAAGGATAAACTAATCGTTAATTCAGATGATCTCGATGTTAAGAGACATCAGGAGTGAAGCGCAGAAGGCAAGAGGAAAAGTAGTGAGCAATTTGAACTAATTACGCTGCATTAATTGATAGATATAAAAAGATAGATATATGAATACTTTGATTAAGATTTCGGCTTCATTACTATCAGCAGACTTCGCTAGGTTAGGGCAAGAAATTGTAGCTCTAGAAAAAGCAGGGGTGGATATGATACATATAGATGTAATGGATGGAAATTTTGTCCCTAATTTAACGCTAGGTCCTGCTGTAATAAAATCCTTAAGATCCTATAGCAAGCTGCCCTTTGATATCCATCTTATGATTAATTCTCCTGAATATTCAATTAAAGACTATGTCGAAGCGGGCGCCGATATCATTACTATTCACCCAGAAACTACTAAGCACCTTGATAGAACCTTAAATTATATTCAAAGCTTAGGGGTGAAAGTAGGAATATCTTTACTTCCTTCAAGTGGACCTGAGTCTTTAGATTACATAATTAATAAGTTAGATATGATTTTAGTGATGACCGTAAATCCTGGTTTTAGTGGCCAACTATTTATTCCTAATCAATTAAAAAAAGTTGAAATTATTTCAGAAAAAATTAAAAAATCTAATAAAACTGTACTTCTTGCAGTAGATGGTGGCATAAATAATATTACTGCTAAAGATTGTATTAAGGTAGGAGCAAATGTTTTGGTAGCAGGAAATTTTATCTTCCAAACAAAAAACTATAAAAACCAAATAGAGTTATTAAAATATTAGAGCGCAGTATCTAAAACAAAAATGGCCTTATTATTAAAATGAGCATAGTTTGATAATAAAGTCTATTATTGCACTGAATCTTGCATCTCCTCAACTTGTTTATTATCTCTTGAATAATCTTGAGCTTCTGATTCAGTTCGTGCTACAATTACTGTAATATTACTGCTTAGCTCAGCATGCAACCTCACTTCTACTACAAAAACCCCTGTTGTTTTTATTGGTTTATCAAGCACAATATTTAAATAGGAAATTGGGTGAGCAGAAATCTTCGATAACGTTTCAGCGATCTCTTTATTATTTACTGAACCAAATAATCTGCCATCATCAGCAGACTGTCTAATAAAAACTATCTCTTTTCCAGTGATATTATTACTAATAATGGATGCTTCAGTTCTTGTTTTTGCATCTTTTATTTCCAGATCGTGTTTCTGATTTTCTATCAATTGCTTATTAGGTGCCGTTGCTCTAATTGCTAATTTATTAGGAAAAAGGTAGTTTCGAGCAAATCCATTTTTTACGTCACAAATTTCCGCGATCTTGCCCACGTGCCTTACAGGCTTAATTAAAATAACTTCCATCTTTTTCCTCTACTTAAACTTGAAACATAAAAGGCATCAATGCTAAAATTCTGGCAATTTTTATAGCATTTTTTAATTTTCTTTGTTTCTTAGCGCATACGTTAGTAATCCTACTAGGTAGCATTCTGCCCCCTTCTGATACAAATTTTAACAATAAATCAGGATTTTTGTAATCAATTTCAGGAGCGTCTGGTACCGATAAAGGACACCCCTTACGTTTTCTAAAAAACACCCGTTTGTTCGTTCGGTCCGCCATTCTAGTCATTGACTTAGAATCGGTACTTTCGTTCGTTATCATTGCTTCCTCCACTTATTACTCTAATCTTTTCATTAATCTCTAGGCATTAACGGTTACATCAACTACGCCTTCATTTTCTGTATTTTTGCTTCTTAAAATCGTGGAAGGTTCATTACTAATTGCATCCACTTTAATATTAATAAATCGAATAATATTTTCACTGAGTTTCATTTTTCTTGCCATTTCTTTTATTACCGAAAAGTCAGCCTTAATACCTAAGAAAACATAATGCCCTTTCTTATTATTACCAATTTTGTAAGCTAAGCTTCTTAGCCCCCAATATTCAGTTTTTATAATTTCCCCTACCTTTTCTTTAACAATTTTAATAAAATCATCGGTAATTTTATCTACATCAGCCAACGAAACATCTTGACGAATGATAAAAACTGATTCATAAAAAGCCATATAACAGAATCTCCACCTATAAAAATAAGCCATTTATAACAATTAATAACATTTTATTCAAGTATTATCTTCTATTAGGTCGCAATTAATCGAACTAATAGCTGCTAGTTAGTATTTCACCTCACGCTATCTTTTTTAAAAATTAAAATATACTATTTTTTGATAACATCTATAAATAATGAGATATATGTAATTTAGGTTAACGTTAGATTAGTAATATAAAAAATACTTTTAAGCTGAGATTAGTACTTGCTGATTATTAAAGTAGTAGAGAATAACAATGTGTGGTTTTAATTCATTACTAATATTTATTACTGAATGGCTTCGGTTCTAGGTGTTAAGCCTTAAAGTGATCGTGACATGCCGCAGGATTTCAAATTATTTTAAATTTATAATTGTTGCTTTAATTAATTTGACATTATTATATTTTAATATATTAAGTATTGTGTTAATATTATGTTAATATCTTAATAAACCTATTAAATAAGTTACTGTAGTGTTTGACAAATTACCTCCGAGAATTCTTATTTTAGAACTCACCAAAAGCAGCAATATTTCGTTATTTAATATTGTAGAAAGATCATGGTTTAATATCATTAAAGTGTGTACCTTAGAAAAGGCTATAGTTTCTGCCCACTCCTCTCCGCCAGATATAATTATTATTGATGCGGTAGAACAAGATGAACTTACTATGAGAGCTGCAGTTATGTTAAGAAAAATTAGTGGCATAGAAAAAATTCCAATAATTTTTCTGCTCAATTCCCAAGAACAAAAAGCTATCTCTAAGTTGGAAAATAATGAATTTGTAGATCTGCTAGTTAAGCCATTCACTTCTGAACAATTAATTACTTTAATCAGGAATTTGCTAAGACGCTCTAATTGGATATTGAAAAATAAAATTATCCAATATAAAGATATAAGTATGGATCTTACTAATTATAAAGTAACAAAAAATGGCGAGGAAATTCATTTGGGGCCTACAGAATTTAAAATCCTTCATCTTCTGCTTAAGACTCCTAAGGTAACATTTTCACGGCAAGATATTATAGATAAAGTATGGCCTACCAGTAAGAATATAGATACACGCACAGTTGATGTACATATGAATAGAATCAGAAATTCAATAAGACATAAAGATTCTCAAGTATTTATCAAGACCGTGCGCTCTCTAGGGTACTGTATTGATTCCTTAAGTTAAGCTATGTTTTCCTCTTTCTACTTGTTCATTCGCCCTAGCGGTCTATTAAATATCCACTAGATTCAGCAAGGTAATTTTGTTATAAGTAATTTGGAATTAATACAATAACTTTAGCGAGAATATATCTGGTACCTGAATTTAAATTTGATAAAAAGCAATTGCTTATTCTGAGTAGTCTCAAAGAATATGCAGCCCAAATAGATAATAAGTCGTTTTTCCGCTTCCTTACTGATAAAACGTCGGTAAAAAAAGGAGTATATTTATACGGAAATGTGGGTAACGGCAAAACTGTATTAATGCGATATTTTTATCAAATACTATCTAGCAAAAGATTAATCATCCATTGTCAACAATTTATGCAATTAATCCATGCAGATATCCATCAATTACAAAATCACACTGGATCGAAAAATAACGTTATTAAAAAAATTGCTTATTCTTACACCACAAAATATAAAGTAATCTGCCTAGATGAGTTTGAAATTAAAGATATTACTGATGCGATGATAATCGGTCCTTTAATCTTGGAACTTATAAAACATAAGGTCTTCATCTTTATTACTAGTAATACCAAACCCGATTCTTTATATCAAGATGGGTTACAGCGAGAGTTGTTTTTACCTATAATTGAAAAAATTTACCAAACATTTGATGTACTGCATTTAGATAGTAATCACGACTACAGGAAAGATAAAATTATCAAATTGTCTCAACAACGTATACTGTACCCAATCAATCACGATAATAAACTTACCATGCAAAAACTTATCTCAGCCCTCAGCCAAGAAGCTCAGTTAGCTCCTATGTATTTAGAAATTTTTGGTCGTATCATCCATTTTAAAACAGCAAATCAGCGCATATTAGTTACTAGCTTTGAAGAATTATTTTTAAGGCAATTAAGTTCTATTGATTATGTAAATATTTGTCAAAAATTTTCTATTATAGTGGTCGAAAATATTCATATAATAGAGTCTGAGAATACAGATTTAGCGGTAAAGTTTATAAATCTAGTTGATAATGCTTATTTCCATAAAGTACTACTGTTTATGATTTTAGAAACGGAACCTACCAAAATATATCAAAACGGTCACCGTAGTCAGGAATTTCAGAGAACAATTTCAAGATTACATGAAATGAATAGTGAAGCGTATGTCACCAGCTAAACGCGGTAAATTTATTACATTTGAGGGAGGAGAAGGCAGCGGGAAATCTACTCAGAGTAATATGCTATACCAATATTTATTATCACGAAATATTCTAGTAGATTTAACACGTGAAGTAGGGGGTACTCTTTCCGCTGAAAAAATGCGTGAAGTTTTAATATATCAAGATTTATTACCGATGTCTGAGTTATTGCAAATTATGGCAGCGCGTTATGAACATGTTCATAAAAGGATTATACCCAAATTAAACGCAGGCACTTGGGTGATTTGCGATAGGTTTATAGATTCTACTGCTTGTTATCAGGGCTCGTATATATCAGATCAATTGCCCCTACCAAAAAATGAAAATCCTTGATTTATTTCAATCGAAAGAGTGTATGAACTCCATCGCTCCCTTATTTCTTCTATTATGCCTGACTGTACATTTTGGATTGACTTAATTCCAGAAATTGCTTTATCAAGAGCACGTGCGCAAGGGGATAATGATAAATTCGAGCACAAGGATACAGTTTTCCACCAAGAGGTGTATAATAGGTTCCAATATATATCGTCGCAATTTTTAGAGAGAATAATATCAATACCAGCTTTGACTCTTAGTGCGCCAGAAATCCATGCTGTGGTACTTAAATTCTGTAAGCAAAAATTTAGTAAACTTATTGAGTAATAAATTTGGTTTATGATATAGTTAATTTACCATATCTAATTATTTCTTAAGACAATTGAAATATAACCATCAAATAGGTAAGCTCGATGACGCAAGATAAAATACAAAAAGTATGTGTGATTGGGTCAGGAGTAATGGGATCAGCAATCGCGGCTTTAATAGCCAACTCATCGTGCCAAGTTGTGTTACTCGATATAGCTAGCAATAATCCTAATGATAGGAACTCGGTTGTTAAAAAAGCGATAGAGAATATACCAAAACAACGCCCTCCTTCTTTATCTCATCCTAGTAAATTAGCTTTTATTAAAATTGGCAATTTAAAAGATGATTTACAGTTAATCACAGAGTGTGACTTAATTATCGAAGTAATTATAGAACAAATTGATATCAAATATAAGCTATATAATAAGATTATACCATATTTGCAAAACGATGCCATTTTAGCTTCTAATACTTCAACTTTACCTTTAAAGCAATTAAAAGAAAATATACCAGATTCTATAAAATCTCGGTTTGTGATTACTCATTTCTTTAACCCTCCAAGATATATGGAATTGCTAGAGCTAATCACCGACCAAGCAGTAGTTCCAATGGTAGTAGATAAAATAACTAACTTCTTAACCATTAATTTAGGTAAAACTATTGTTAAAAGCAATGATACTCCAGGCTTCATTGCCAATAGAATAGGATGTTATTTACTTGAGCTAGTAGTACGCACCGCTATAAAAGCTAATTTAAATCCTGTAATTATAGATAAAATTTTTACTGATTTATTAAAATTTCCGAATACGGGGATTTTTGGTTTATATGATCTCATTGGGCATGATGTAATGAAATTAATTTCTACGTCATTAGTTAATTCTTTACCAATGAATGATCAATATAAAAAAATTTATATTCTCACCCCGATTTTGGATAAGATGATAGCAAAAAATTTAATAGGGAGAAAAGGGGTAGGAGGATTTTACCGGATATCAGCTATAAATAAGGTAAAAACTAAAGAAGTGATAAATTTTCAAGATTTCTCCTATACTGCAATAGAAGACCCTAAAGTGGAGTATAATTCTATTAATGAATTATTAGATAGCGGCTCTATTTATGGACAGTTTTTCAAAAGTATCTTAGTAGAATTTTATCTTTACTTAACGAGCTTAATTCCAGAAGTAACTGATAATATTTATGATATCGATAAAGCGATGAGACTTGGTTACAGCTGGAAACAGGGCCCATTTGAGCTACTCTATAATATAAAGGATGGTTTTGAATGGCTTAAGAAAGAAGCGACTATTAAGAACCTACCTTTACCAAAATATGTTGCAAATAATAATTATAAAACCATTGACAGCAGCAAATTCCAAGTTAGCAGAATTAACTTACGAGAAAGCGAAGTTTTATTAAAAAATAATTCAGCTCAAGTTTTGTTATATCAAGATAGATTAGTTTTTAGTATTAGCACAAAAATGAATTGCCTGAACGAGGAAGTTTTTACTCTGCTGCTAGAAGCTGTAGATCTGGCTGAACAAAGAGAGCAAGATCTATATATTGTCCCTTTAACTGACAATTTTTCCGCTGGTGCTGATTTAAAGCTGGTAGCTCATTACATTAAAACTAATGATTTTACTAAATTAGACAGATTACTAGAATTAGGGCAACAAGCTATGATGAGATTGAAATATTCTCACATCAATATTATTAGTTGTGCAGTTGGGTTTGCACTAGGGGGCGGGTGTGAGATATTACTTCATTCTGATTTTATTGTAGCTCACCAAGAGTTAAATGCTGGACTTGTTGAAGTAAGTCGTGGGTTAGTTCCGGCCTTTGGCGGTATTAAAGAAATGTTTTACCGTGCCCAAGGAAATAAAGATAGGTTAATCAAAAACATCATCAATATTCTGACTGCTAATAAAACCAGTTCTGCAGATTATTTTATACTAGATTATGGGATTTCATCTGCTCAAATAAATATGAATAAACAAATGATATTTCTGGAGGCTTCGCAGTTAACTTTTCCTAAAAAAGTAGTGAAGGTAGATAAAAAAATTACTTTGCCACAAATTAGCTTATCCGAAGAATTAGATATATCGCAATATAATGAGCTACAAATTTTACTATTAGCACAGTTGCAAGACATTATTGCTTTGCAAGAAATTGACGAACAAGAGATATTAGAGCGTGAACGCAAGATCTTTTTAGAACTTGCTCAAAATCCTAAAAAGGATTTAGCCTTTTAGGTTTCGAGAGAGCAATAATTTATAGCTAATGAAGATAATGATTATTGCTAAGAATGCGCATATGTCTCCGAATTGCGAATAGAGAGTTTTAAATTTTAGTTTAATAGGGATTAAATTATCAATATAATTGACTTCATTCAACTCTAAAGATTGAACAATTCTACCTACCGGATCTATTATGGCGGATATACCGTTATTAGCTGTTCTAATCATAGGCAGACCATTTTCTATACTACGCATCCGGCTAATTTGTAAATGCTGATAGGGGCCAGAAGATTTACCGTACCACGCATCGTTAGTTACATTAATTATTAAATCTAATGCTTCATTAGTAGTACGAACAAAATTAGGAAAAATCGATTCATAACAAATAAGCGGTTTTATAGTAAGATTATGTCTATCAACTTTAACAAGCCCGCCATCTCCTGGTGTATAATCCATAATCCCAGGAGTTAATTTCTTTAAAGGTAATAACTTTTTCAGCGGCATATATTCCCCAAAGGGGACTAGATGAGATTTATGGTACTCAAATAATTGCTCTCCTTCCGGAGTTAAAGCGTATAAACTAGTATAAATTTCTCCTTCCTGATTTACCTTACCATTCTCTGTTACTCCTCCAGTAATTAAAATTGCATCTTTATTTTGTAACATATTCAATATTTTTATTTTAACCGGCTCATAAACATATGGTACTACTAAGGCGGCTTCTGACCATATAATCAAATCTACTTCCCCTGGTTTCTCAGATAAGTTAATATGTAAATCTAAATTTCTCCAAAATTCTTCAATATCCCATTTAGCAGACTGCGGTATACTGGGTTGCACTAATCTAATCTTAACATTAGAAAAATCGGTGGGATTATTATACAACCTACAGATACCGTATGAAGCTATTAATAGAATTATTATTAATGAATTTAGCATTAACAATTTTAATTTATGATAATCTTTAGAAAAAATGGCGTAAAAGCCGCTTGATATATATACCACCGTAAAACTTAACCCATATATCCCTACAAGGCTAGTTACCTGAAGCAAGGCATCAGAAAAAGAAAGAGCATAGCCTAGTAAATTCCAGGGTAATCCAGTAAATAGCCAGGATCTTAACCATTCAAAAAATACCCAACTAATACAAAATATAAATTGATAATAATTATATTTTTTGGCTAAAAAGGCAAAATCACAAGTTGCCCCAATAAAAAATGCCAGAATAATTGGTAAGCCAAATAACGCAAAAGGAATAGCCCACCAAAATTCTTCAATATAAACAGAAACTCCTATACTAATCCAATACATACTAGTTAAAAAATGGCTAAAACCAAATATAAAACCCTTTATGCTTCTTGCCAATTGTTCGCTATTTCTACTTGATAGCATAGTAACGAAATCATTAACAAAGCGGGGGTAAAAAAGATGGGAGCAAAAGCTAATCCACTTAACGAACCAGCTACAAAAATTAATTTTTTAGAGGTAAACATTCTTATTATTACTTAGAAAGAATTATTTACAAAAATATACATCATGCTATTGTTTGAACAAGCTTTAATTATAGCTATCAAAAAATTTATAATATAAACATTTTTGATATAGGAATACTGGTTTTTATATCAAATGGACATTAGACCTCTTTCTCAGCTCGCTTCCGGTGGGAGTTTGAAGGAGGCTCTTCGCTTCAAACCGCAGTGTACTTAAATGTACGTGAGGATTCGAGCCTAGATTCGACGTACAAATTACCAGCAGAAGCGAGCTGAGAAAGAGGTCTATTATTTTAATAAGGAGAAGGCTACTGCCTAAAGTGGTTCGGCTAGTGCCCTTTTAATTTTATTCATGATTAAAAGACTGTAGAGTTTTAGGAGAATATATGCAAACTAACATTGCTGGGTTACTCAATGGAAAAAAAGGATTGGTTACAGGAGTTGCTAACAATCTATCAATATCTTGGGCTATTGCGCAAATAGCTAAAGAGCACGGAGCGGATTTAGCTTTTACTTACCAAGGAGAAATACTGGAAAAACGTGTTACGCCATTGGCAGAAGAGGTAGGATGTGATTTTATAGTACCCTGTGATGTGACCGATGAAAAATCTCTTGATACCATATTTGAGGTAGTGAAAAAAAAGTGGGGCAAGCTGGACTTTTTAGTACATTCTATAGCTTTTGCTGATAGAAATGAGTTAAAGGGGAGATATATAGATACAACGTTACCAAATTTCCTTAATAGTATGAATATATCTTGTTATTCCTTAACAGCTTTAGCAAAACGTGCCGAACCTTTAATGAAAGATGGCGGAAAAATAGTCACTTTAACCTATTACGGGGCGCAAAAAGTTGTACCCAACTATAACGTCATGGGGCTTGCTAAAGCAGCCCTGGAGGCTAGTGTAAAATATCTGGCATCTGATATGGGAGTGAATAATATTCGAATAAATGCAATATCTGCTGGTCCTATAAAAACCCTAGCATCCAGTGGTATTAATGACTTTAAAAGCATGCTATCTATGCATGAGAATACCGCCCCATTACGTAAAAACACTACTCAGCGTGATGTTGCTGGCGCTGCGTTATACTTACTTAGTGATTTATCATCGAGAGTTACTGGAGAAATACATTACGTAGATTGTGGATTTAATACTACAATTGGCCCTAGTCAACCCAAATAACCTAAAAGTTCACTAATGGTATACTCTTTTTGAGCGCAAGAAGTGGATTTTATCTGGCAGGCGCGAGGGTACGTACATGAACACACATAAGTCCTTGATCAAATGACAACAAAATCATCAACTAGCTCGGCTTATACAGGAAGTTTAATGCAGTTGCGCAAATGATTGTGTGCCAGAAAGATTGAGTTAGTGATAATAGATGGATATCAAAATGTTACAAACAGAAAGTATAGAAAATGCACTGCAATCTAATGCTTGGCCTTTTATAGAAGCAAAAAAAGTCTTAGACAGAGTTGGTCATACTACCCCCGCTAAAGGGTATGTACTATTTGCAACAGGTTATGGACCATCAGGTTTACCCCATATTGGTACCTTTGCAGAAGTTGCGCGCTCTATAATGGTGCAGCAAGCTTTTAAACAATTATCAAATATCCCGTCTAAGCTTCTGTGCTTTTCTGACGATATGGATGGTTTACGCAAAGTGCCAAGCAATCTACCTAATCCCGAAATGTTAGCATCACATCTTGGTAAACCTTTGACATCTATTCCAGATCCTTTTGGGGAAACTATAAGTTATGGAGAGTATATGAATTCTAAATTACGCTCCTTCCTAGATAAATTTGGTTTTGAATATGAATTTTTCAGCAGTACACAGTGCTATAAGTCTGGGATGTTTGACTATATGATGCTTAAAGTCATTGAAAAATATGATGAAATTATGGCTTTAATGCTTCCAAGCTTTAGGACCGAGAGAAGATCTACTTATTCTCCTTTCATGCCTATTTGTCCAAAAACAGGCATTGTACTGCAAGTACCTATTATTAAAACTGATCTTAAAAACGGCACAATAACATACAAAGATGAACTAAATAACTTATTAGAAGTGCCAGTAACTAAGGGACATTGTAAGCTCCAATGGAAACCTGATTTCGGCATGCGTTGGGCAGCTCTGCAGGTTGATTATGAAATGTATGGTAAAGACCATATGCCTAACTCAAGATTATATTCGGAAATTTGCCGAATTTTAGGGGGCACTGAACCTGTGCAATTTTTTTATGAATTATTCCTTAATGAACAGGGTGAAAAAATTTCTAAATCTAGAGGTAATAGTATCACAGTTGAGCAATGGTTACAATATGCTCCTGTAGAAAGTATGTCCTTGTTTATGTATCATAATCCTACACGAGCCAAACGTTTACATTTTGATGTTATTCCTAAAAATGTTGATGAATATATTATTTTCAATAAAAAATATCATACAGAAACTGATCCAGTAAAACGTTATAGTAACACGGTGCATCATATTCATCATGGTAAAGTTCCTATTATTGAAACTTTTGGTATTAGCTTTAGTCTACTGTTGAATCTTGCTTCCGCATGTAACCCGGAAGATAAATCAGTCCTATGGGGATTCATTAATAAATATGCCCCAGAAGTCACTCAAGAGAATTCTCCTTACCTCGATCATTTAATAGATTTTGCAATTCGCTATTATAATGACTTTATTAAGGCAAATAAAATATATGTGACCCCTAACAGCAAACAAAATATTATCTTACAACAATTAATAGCTATGTTATCTATACTACCTGTGGACAGTTCGGCTGAGCAGATACAAGAAAAGATTTATGATATTGGTAATAATCATGGCTATCAAAACTTAAGAGAATATTTTCAGGAATTATATCAAATATTGTTAGGTCAAACTGAAGGACCACGTCTCGGTACTTTTGTAAAACTTTTTGGTATCCAAGAAACGATCAATTTAATCAAGCAAACCCTACCAGTTTCCTCTCTATAAATTGGCTATTGCTGGGCAATAATTGATTGTGCGCAATAAATTTGGTATTCTTGCCCTTTTTTATATGGTAAGTCAATGGTTTACTGCTCGTACTTTCAGAACGTTCATTTTATTTTGAAAGATGAGTAGTATTTCTAGGTCACGCATACAATTGAGCTTATATGAGAAAAACAAGACTTGACCAATATCTAGTACAATTAAAGTTAGTGGATAATATTGAGCTGGCTAGAAGCCTGATCATCCAAGGCAAAGTGTATATTAACCAGCAAGTTAGCATAAAGCCTGGCACGCAAATTTCTCTTAATCCTTCCAATTCCCCAGATATTATTATCAAACAATCACAGCATGATTATGTGTCACGCGGTGCCTTAAAGCTAATCGCTGCGTTAGAACATTTTAATGTTGATCCTCAGAATTTAATCTGTTTGGATATAGGAGCGAGTACAGGCGGCTTTACTGAAGTTTTATTACGTAAAAAGGCGAAAAAGATTTTCGCAGTAGATGTAGGTTATGGAGAATTACATTACAAATTACGCAATAATCCTATAATTTCTGTTATTGAACGAACGAATGCCAGATATTTAACCATCAACCAAATTACTTTGCCCCCCGACCTTATCGTTTGTGATGCCAGCTTCATTAATCTCGCTAAAATACTACCTACTCCAATTGAGCTCGCCTCCCCTACCTGTAGATTAGTAGCCCTAATTAAACCTCAGTTTGAAGTAGAAAAAACTGAGGTAGGACAGGGGGGGATTGTACGAGATTCCTTTCTACATCAGCGAGTATGTAATGAGATTAAACATTGGTTAGAAACCTATAATTTTAATATATACGGAATAATACCAAGCCCTATTTTAGGAACCAAAGGCAACCAGGAGTTCTTAATTTATGGACAAAGGTTATCAGGAAGCTAATAATCAATTATAGTGCATATTTTTTCATGTTAATCTTAATGAAAAATGTTTTTTCTTGCCTAAAGCAACCTTTATAACTTGCTGTTCATCGGCAAAACTTTTATCAATCATCATACTCTCATCCTCTACTACCTGATCGTTAATTTTCACACCTTTTCCTCTAATTAAGCGTCGCCCTTCAGATTTTGAGCTAACAAGCCCTACTTCATGCAGTAGTTCATAAGCTAAAATACCATTACCTAACCTTTCAGTTTTAATATCTATTGTTGGTAGTTGAGCTCCCATTTGACCTTGTTCAAAAACGTTAGTGGCAGTTTCTAATGCTAACTCTGCGTCCTGATTACCATGACAAATTTTTGTTAAAGTAAATGCTAATTGTTTTTTAGCATTGTTAATATCTGAAATCGCAAGCGCCGTAAATTGTTGCATTTGTTCCTCATTAAACTCAGCATAGATCTTAGCAAACCGCACCACATCTTGATCCAGACAATTTCTCCAATACTGATAATATTCATAAGGACTTAGCATCTTACTACTCAGCCATACAGCTCCCCCTGCAGTTTTACCCATCTTATGACCGGCTGCTGTTGTTAACAAAGGAGTAGTGATCCCAAATACCTCTTGTCCCCTTAGCTTTTTTGTTAAATCAACGCCCATTACTATATTGCCCCATTGATCACTACCACCTATCTGCAGAGAGCAATTATACTCTTTATTTAAATAATAAAAGTCATAAGCTTGTAATAACATATAGTTAAACTCCAAAAAACTCATATGTTGCTCTCGCTCTAAACGTAATCTTACAGAGTCCATTGATAACATCCGGTTTACTGAGAAAAAGCTACCAAAATCTCGAAGAAAATCTAAATAATTTAAGGCTTCTAGCCACTGAGCATTATCAATCAATAAAGCCTCATCTGCTCCATTGCCAAATTTAATAAACTTGGCAAGAGTATTCTTGATTCCATCAATATTTTTAGTAATTTCTTCTTTGGTTAGAGCATTTCTGGCAGTATCTTTACCACTGGGGTCTCCAATTTTACTAGTAGCCCCGCCGATAATGACAATAGCTTTATGACCATATTGTTGCAATAAACGTAATATCATAATCTGCATAAGGCTACCGACGTGCAAAGATTCTGCTGTACAATCGAAACCTATATAAGCAACTATCTTGCCCCTGTTCGTAACTTCTGTTAATCTTTCTAGATCTGTACATTGATATAGAAAGCCTCTATTTTTTAATTCTCTAATAAACATATATCTTCTTAACATTGGGCCAAAGAGATTTAGCTGGTGATACAACACCACCAGCTAAATACCCTAAGCTATATAAGGTTTGTTTTAGGCAAGTTACAATATATTAATTTTTATTATAATTTCATTCCTTACTTAGCTCCATCTAAGCATCACTTACAACTATTTCTGGGATCACTTGCACTCCCCCCGCTACTTCCACCATTGTATTACCTTCTACACTTTGAGAGTTTGTATTTTCTACTGCCTCATTCTCTAAAGAGTCAACCAGTAGATTTTTTCTTAGGCCAGGAGTCAATTTATGACTAAGCGCACTAGTAGCGAAACCCATAAACTTACCAAGAGTATACGCTATACTGTTGCTATTTCCTTCTTGGGTATTCTGATCACCTCTACCATATAACTTATACCCAAACAATTCATAGTTAATATTGAGGGAATTTAGCTTCACTGCTGCCTGTAATGCCTTGTTCCAACAAACTGTAATTTCAGCTTCATTGCCAGTCTTAACTATTGTTTCTTTTTGACCTGACTCATATAATCCATAAAATTTTCCAACATTAGGTATAGTATTTTGTTCTTTATGTGAATATTGTATTACCTTTAAAATATCACCACTCCAGCCTATCGGTTTGAATTGCCCCGTAGTTTTGTCACATGATAATCCATGTAATTCGTCTATAATATTTCCTTTTTCATCATACCTTACCCAAAACAGATGAGCCCCGCCAACAGGTATTTTCCAGCTTATAAAAGGTATTTGTATTCCAAGACTAAACTCTCTTAACGCTATTTTATATAGCTCCGTCTCTTGATCGATTAACTTGAGTGTGACTGTTTGATTGATTACCCCTTGCGCTGCTAATGGCATAAATTATCCTCATAAATAAAAATTTCTACTATTAATAATATTTTAAAAACACTGAAAAAGCAACGCACCAAATAATTACTAACTGTATTTGTTCTTAACATTGCACCCCGTCATTCCATAATGTATAACTACAGGCAAAATTATTTTGGTATTTATGAATAAATAATCGCTATCCTTAGTTCTTGAGTAAAATCTTGTGGTAAATTGTAATTATTTTGGTAAAAATAATTACAAAGTTCGGTAGTAATAGTGAATCCATCTGGAATAGGTAATTTTAAGTTAGACATTTCAGCCAGGCCAGCACCTTTGCTTCCTAAAATATCTTGCATTTGTGCATTACCGTTACTACCTTTAGTCCCAAAATAGTAGATCCATTTATTCATAAATACCAAAATAATTTTGCCTGTAGTTATATATTATGGAATGACGGGGTGCAATGT